GGAATGCGCTGATATGGCTACCTCCAGGCAAACGCACTACAGCTTTTCGTTCTGCTGCGTTCGTACCACATTCGCGCCAGCAAGCCGTCGCGCCGTACTAGCGCTAGCGAATCGTCACACTGCTTTGCAAAATTAAAAGAAATCGAGATAAATGTATTGCGAACCATGGAATTCCGAGCTTCCAAAATTCATCACATATTCTCTTAAGAAACGGCAACTGTATGACATTTGAAAACATTTCAAAAAACGGAAACTATGTGTAGGGACGGATACCATCACATATTTCAAAGGGAAGGAGGCAACTGCGCAAAATCTACGAAAGCCGACCAAGCCTCAGACGTTCATTTACAGCACCAAAGGACCATGTGTTCGGCGGCCGCTTGAATTGCCCTGCCGTAAGATCAGCCGATAAGTAACCGATTGTAGCGGTGTAGGCTTAATCTAACCAGCGCTCGGCCGTACCTGACCATGTTCGATTAGCCATCACAACGTCTTCCTCATTGATCATTGTTGTAGAGACTTCTACGAATCCCTCGAAATCAAACCCCAATCTTGTCAACGACACAATATTCTGAGCAAACTGCAACACTGGTCAACACATTAGAACACAAAAATGTCACTTATTATTTTTAATTCATAGCGTGTTAAAGTTAATCCTTTATTGTAGTACAACCCTTAAAAGTTTTGAACTTCAAAATATAGCAAATGATAATCATGTTTCGCGTGAACTATCAAATTACAACAAAACGAGAGCAGCAGGAGCACCTGAGGGTTTACAAGCGTTGTCGGGGTTGTAGTCATCATGATCTGCGTGAAAAACAAATTGTCAACTATAAGGACAACATACACAGTTGCCTGTTCTCTCATCTATCACACATACGAGGCCCTAAAACAGAAATACGTTCTCATACCTTGGACTATAATAAATCACTTTGCTTTCACAAGTAAACATAGGTCTTCATACGAAGTATCTGACACATACTCTTACTTGAACTTGCGAGTTCGCACGTTAACTACGTGAACCACATTAAAAACGTGAACCAGGACAGCGCCTGCCAGGACAGAGCCTAATACATGTTCAGAAAACATTACCGTGCACACAGCATACGACTTCCGCGCACACAGTGTGACTCCCACGCATACAGAGTACACGACTTCCGAGGCATCGCCATGTACAGCATACGCGCGCTCCGGGATGGCGCATGCGTATACACGCATACGCATCTGCCGAAACCAGGCCATGTTACAGCTGGACCTGGCTGTCCGTTACGACCAGCAAGGCACACACTCACGCACTTGTAATCACATCACACGCGCTACTGTAACACATAAAAGAAAACATTAAAAATACTCAGTCGGAACTTGATTTCAAGAAATGCAGCACTACTCTTGGTACACCATTCGCCTTTCTAGGGCACCAAATACTGAGCTGCGGCTACACAACAACCTCTGGTATGGTCCGGTCCTCATGTAAACTTAAATACTCTCTTCAATGTCAGAACTAATTGGCTCTACTTCACTTTCATCAGTTACACTTCGGTTTTCCGGCATTTTTCGCAACCAAGAAATGTAAACACTCATTCTTACAAAATAGTTTCTGAGCCAATGTTTAGGATAAATTTACTATCCTCATGTATCTAATGGTGATCAGTAGCAGTGACAAATAATAAGTCCGCGGCGTCATAAGCCGACAGCATACTCAAAAGCGAGCGCTACAGCTCCACGCTTTCCACTAAACCATTCCAAGTTTGTCGACTACGTAATGCTCGGAGTAAACTGTAACACTTATCATCACATTAGATCACAAAAATACTACTTAGTGTTTTTAAGTCATAGCACGTTAAAGTAATCATGTTCTTTTTTTTTCGGTACATCGTTTAAACATTTTGAACTTTAAAACTAGGCCATGTAAATCACACCTCGTGTATCAAATTATAACATTACTTGAGCAAGTTAAACTTCCACTGAATGCAAACTATAACTCATTCAGAATATCTCCAACATTTCTTTCGACATTTGTTATCATATTTGGGTACGTTAAGAAATAATGAAATTACTTGCGGGTACTTTCTATTATAAATTGAATAAAGAGATTTAACTTTTGACTTAAATAATTTCACTTTATCTTTTCTCTACACTTTAATGATACGACAATATCGTAAGTAGGACAGCAAATTTCATTACGGTATTTAACATAAAAATAGAATCATCAATGCAGAATGCATTATAGTCTTTCACAAATGTAATAATCCTCATACTATTCGAAGATTGTATGTGGGCAAAAATGGGGACTTTATCCCACTTCTGATGTAGGAAGTATAGTGGGTATAGTACAAAGACTGATCTTGTAGTTAGGAATAATAAATAATTCGTTTATACGAATTAATTATCCAACGAGTCGAGGATAAACTAGTAACGGAATACGACAAGCACACCGTTCCACGTCAGAGCCAAGACTGTCTTAACGGCGGCCGCTCAGTCCGTTTTATACAAGCAGGACGGGCGGCACGCAGGTGCAATGCGGCAGGTGTGCGGTACACGTGTCGTTTACAAGAATTCTGTCTAGCTAGACAGACGCCACCGCATCTACAACGGTGCAGGTGCCGTCATATACAAAAAAAAATATTTTTACGTATTACGGACGGGCGTGATTGTAGACACAAAATTAAACCAATCAAACCAACGCTGCCTGCCACCAGAATTGTTTAATTTTTATCAACCACTATGGTCGGGATCGACCGGGGAATCGAACCCGGAACCACGCTCTGCTACCAGATTGTTACGGCCTACGGCTGCTCCCATAAAGGTTCAATCCTCCGGGGCCCATCGGCGGAGTTTCAACGAACAGACGTAGGTCGGGCCTCAATATGGCCGCGTGGAAGGTTTCTAATTACAATAACAATAAGGGGGGAGCGTTCTATCCTACTGCAATTCAACAGGGAGAATATTAAACCGAGCTTACTTACCTATATCCAAGGCGACTGGTCCCTCAGGATTCCGTCAGGTCGCAGGTGGTTGAATGGTGCAAGGGAAGTAAGGTGCTGTGATGTGTATCTGTGTGTGACTGAGTGTGGTAGACCTTATGAGACCGTTGCCGTCGGCAGCAGCTCGGATTTCAGCACCGCTCCAAATTTTGGTAATCTTCCGCGGAGTAGTCCACAGTCACTTTCTTCGTTCGTCACGAGTATAGTCCTTAACTTTATCGTACAATTAACTAACTTAAAGAAGCCACTAACTCTCGTTTGTTATAAAGCTTAACACACAAAACGAACACGGACTGTCCGGATCAAAGGTCACTACCGTTTCGCGTGGCAACAGTTATTTCTAGAATATCAAATGCCGCACTAGCTAATATTGTCGAATGCACTTATACAGATTCTGAGTCATACACAATGAGTCGCGGGTGAAGCTCTCAAGCAAGGAATGCGCGTTACAAATCCCAGACAGTATATTTACTAGACGCGCCTAAATTATTCCGAGTTCCCGACAAAAATGACCGCGTGCTGTACCAAGCACCGCTGGCAGACGACTCTTTGCGCTCGCGCGCTCTCGCCACACCCAAGCTAGCCCGAACGTCAAACCGGTATGACGCCGAACCGAACGCCCTCTGGCGTCGATTCTTGACATTAGCGTTGGGCGCGAACATAATATATCACAAGTAGTACCTTTGATATATTTTTTTTAAAGAAAAGTCGATCTTATTTTACTGCCTTGAACACTATGACCAAAAACGAATGATTTCTATTGGTTTTTTGTTGTTTTATTATTATATACTAACTGTGCTGATAGATAAAAAGTAAATAGTATAAATAGCTTTTGCAGTTTTTATTTAAAAAATTCGCAAATCAATTTATTTTTGAAAAACATGCAAAAAATATTATTTAAGCGAAGTTCAAACCTCTTGGGTATGAAAAAAATGTATGGGTGTAATTTACAATTATTTTACAATAATGTCGGTTTCGTGTAGATTTTATAGTGGTATAATTCATAAATGTATCTTCCATAAATAGTGACTTATTGCCATTAATGTAGAAAAGGAGAAAATTTGACTAAGTAACAAAATTTGTAATATGGGAACATTTTTTAAATTGAATTGTCTCTGATCATTGGGAATTAATAAAAACACATCAGGAGTTGATCATACATGAAAACAGCTATTTTTAAACAAATTGAAACCAAATTAAGTATTAGAAATTAACTTATTTAAATGTAACAAAATGACCAATTTAAATGTTAAAATGGTTACTTTACTAGCCTGAAATGGGTCGTGTGACCTTCATATTTACTACCTGCTGTCTTTTGAGTTATATTAGACAAAGAGGGGTCTGAATTGGGTAAGTGGGAGAGAGAAGAGCTAAATGTAAAAGAGAACTTAGTGCGTCACTCGACTTGCTCGACTTCGCAAGTATTTATTTATCTCCGTTTGCAATTATTTAAATCAGAGTTAAAACGACCACTTGGCTATTTTACCGGACTATTCGTTTTGCTTACTGATTTGGACTTGTTTTGCGTTTGGTGACATTTGCGACGATTTGGCTTGTTTCTCGACTAAACTGGACTTTTGTGTACCTATCAAAATGCCACGTCATAAGTACACGGCACAAGAATATGCAAACATGCATTTTATTTATGGAGAATGCAGAGGCAACGCAAATGCAGCCGCAGCTCTTTATAGGGAGAGGTACCCTAATGCGCGCCACCCAGACTACCCCGTATTTATAAGAGTCCACGGTTGTTACTCCGAAGGAAGAATGCTGGGTAGTGGTGTCAGTGGTGCTAGCGCTGGAAGAATCGCTCGTCCTGATGTAGAAGACGTGGTGCTTGAGGAGATTTAAAACGATCCTTCAACCTCTACGCGAGCAATAGCTTGACGCACAGGTATTGGAAAATCGACCGTACACGATATTTTAAAGAAAAACGAATTCCACCCTTACCACGTCACATGCGTGCAAACTCTCCAACCAAGAGATTATCTCTCAAGAGTGCGTTTTTGCCGGCAAATGCTGGCAAAGATGGAAGAAGACCCGCAATTTTTTAATCAAATTTTGTGGAGCGATGAGTCAACGCTTAAAAGAGACGGTTACTTAAATTTACACAATTTACATAGTTGGGAACTAGAAAATCCCCATCTTATGCGTGAAGACAGGTCGCAATACCAATTTAAAATAAATGATTGGACCGGAATATTAAATGGTATGATAATTGGCCCATTTGAATTACCGGGGAATTTAACGGGGCAAAGTTATTTGGAGTTTCTTCAAAATGATCTCCCCAATTTATTACAAGAGGTTCCCGAGGAGCTGAGGGAATCGTATTGGCTGCAAAATGACGGTTGTCCTGCGCATTATGCTGTTCCGGTTCGTGCATATTTAAATAGCAGATACCCAAATAGATGGATCGGACATCTAGGGCCAATTTTGTGGCCTCCACGTTCACCGGATCTAAATCCATTGGATTTTTTTTTTACTGGGGCCGTCTGAAAGAGGAAGTATACTGTAAGCCTGTGCCGTCTTTGGATGAACTACGTAGTCGTGTCAGAGCAGCCGCATCAAAAATATGCGAGCGACGGTACACAAGACTGCTCAGAAGATCATTTATCCGAAGATGTAGGGCATGCATAAGAGTGGGAGGCAAACAATTTGAACATTTTTTGTAAATTAATGAAAAATAAAATATTTTAATTTTAAATGTTGTTTTTTATTAATCCCCAATGATTAGGCACAATTCAATTTAAAAAATGTTCCCATATTATAAATTTTGTTACTTAGTAAAATTTTCTCCTTTTCTACATTAATGTAGAAAAGTATAAAAAATATATCAAAGGTACTACTTGTGATATATTATGTTTCATATTTTTTTCAGAACGGCCATAAGTTGTACTATAAGATATTTCAAGGTTATCCATTCATTACCGGACACCCGATATATCAAACTTTTTCTCTTCTCTGTCTATTTTAATAAACTTTCAAAACTCACTACTCCCCCCCCCCCCCCCCCCGACATATTTGGAAAGGTCTTCCACAAGGCTCAGTCCTCAGTCCTATTCTCTATACTATCTACAGTTTCGATTTAGATCTTGCAGTCAATTCATTTTGTAATGTCCTGCAGTATGCAGATGATTTAGCCCTATACATTTCTACAGATAACCTGCCTACAACTAATTCCCGGTTAAATTCTACTATGGAATATTTACAATGCTGGTTAACTGATCATGGTCTATCCCTCTCTGTTTCCAAAAGCAGTATAGTGATTTTTACTAAGAATGTCCCTAATATTCCAGTTTTATATAATGGCTTACCTATTCCTATTCGGGACAAGGTAAAATTTTTAGGTATGGTACTAGATAATAAATTATCCTTTACACAACACATTGAATACATTTTCCAAAAGTGTGAGAAGAATATAAATATTCTTCGTTCCCTTTCAGGAGTGTGGTGGGGATCTCACCCTTTTCCACAAAAGCTACTATATAATGCTATATTTCGTAGTCATTTAGATTATGGATGCTTTCTTTTAGAGCCATGCAATAAATCGTCACTTAAAACTTTAGACAAAATACAGCATAAATGTCTCCGCATTATAATTGGTGCAATGAAATCTTCCCCAATTAATGCCCTTCAGGTAGTGTGTAGATCCTCCTCTCAACATAAGAAGACAATATCTTTCAGACAGATTCTTCTTTAAGATCTGTCAACTCTCTTCTCATCCCCTAATTCCCAGGTTACACCTCCTCTCAGAATTCTTATCTTCAAGTAGGTACTGGCTCCATAAAGATTGTCCACATTTATTTAATAGCTTAGTCTCATTTCTCCAAATTCCTGGGCCCATTTTCTCATGCAATACAAGTCCACTCTTTAATACTCCTTTTAAAGCTATTATATATCAACCTAACATTCACCTTGACCTAGATATTAGAAAAGGTTCCCCTGAAGCAGATTTAAAATTAAAAGAAGCCATATGGAAAAATTGGAAAGATTGGATGACCATGTATACAGACGCATCCAAAAATACTGATGATGGTTGCACTGGCGCAGCTGTCTGGATCCCCAGGTTTAAAATAATCCTTAGCTTTAAGTGCCCTTCATTATGTTCCATTTTTACTGCTGAGACAATTGCAATCCATGAAGCTCTGCTATATGTTGAATCACATAGCCTAGACAAGACAGTGATCTTTAGCGATTCTAAGAGTTGTTTATCTGCTATTTTGGCTAACCAATTTCAAAGTAAATATAAATTTCCCCTAATTCTTGATATAAAAAGCATTCTGTATAGGTGTCATCTTAAAGGGATTTCTATCTGTTTAGCCTGGATACCTAGTCATAGTGGTATTTGTGAAAATGATAAAGCAGATTTGTGTGCCAAAGAGGCTACTAGAAATGGCACCCCACTAAATGTTACTTATTCCCATGACTTGCTGTCACTTGCTAGGAAAAAGCTTGTTAATACGTGGAATGAGATATGAAAAGCATCACAAATACTAAAAGGCAAGCACTATGCTGCTATACAAGATAATATTCCATCAAGACCTTGGTTTTTCATATTTAATAAAGCAAACAAACGTGCCACCTCTATTGTCTGCCGGTTGAGAATTGGACATGCCTGTACCTATGTTCACCTAGCTAAACTTAGGATTAGGGATAGTTCTCTGTGCGAATGTGGTTTAGATTAGGGAAACACTAATCATATTTTTTTTAACTGCACCAAATTGTCATCATCTCTTTACGATTATCTGTCCCCTGACATCCCTCGTCCCATAGACTTTAACTCCCTTCTAATCTTCACAAATACCTCTTTTGTATATATTTTATGTGATTTTATTAACTCTAACAACATTAAACTATAATTTGTTTGTCATATAATAACAACAACAACAACATTGTCTGTTTTTTTTTTTTTTTTTCGTTTTTTTTTTTCTTTAGAAAACGTTACCCCCACACTAGGATTTTCTCCTGTGTCGTGGAGGCAGTTTACAAACATAAATTGCACAAGGACAAACATCCAGACCCGGAACAATTATTTGTAGGCCATACAAATACTTGTTCCGTGCGGGATTCGAACCCGCGGCCCCCAGCGCAACAACTGATTGCTAAGCCACTGCGCCACGGAGCCGTCGAATTGTCTGTCTTTTGTTTTAGGTGATTCAGCAGTTAAGTTGACCAAAATCATTCACATAATATTCGTTTGTTACCGTTTCTTGTATTATCAATTTCCTTTTTTAAGCAGTTTGTGTCCCAATTAAACCTTCTCAAATGTAACATGTCATTGGCGAATTCATCGTAACCGCCATAAAGAAGAAGAAGAAGAGTCAGGTTAGAAGACATTAGGAAAAACACAAAGGTTCGGGAAATAGCAACAAAAGTCAGGAAACTAAAATGGAAATGGGCTGGGCATATGAGTAGAGGGAAGGAGAAGTGGAGCAGGAAGGTCAAAGAATGGTACCCCAAGAATGGCATAAGAAAGAGGGGAAGACCCCACCAAAGATGGGAGGACGACCTGGTCAAACTCGCGGGTGTGACTTGGAACCAGGTTGCCAAGGATAGGAACGAGTGGAAAAGGTTGGAGGCCTTTGCCGACTAGCAATCAGCAGAAGACAACCTAGATTTTATATAAATTAGATATTAATAAATTGTATTACGTACTATTGAATAAATGGCTTTATTATTATTATTATAAGATACAAAATTTAGCTATGTATCTTGAAAAAAAAAACCAAAAGAAACGAAAATAAATGAATATAGCAAACAATCTAGATTCTGTGATGTTAATGCTGTTAACCTATGCGACTCTTACAGCTTCATCAGACTCACGGCTATAAAAAAGAGGGGAGATTATTTATTTTTAAGATTATCGGTTTTAGTGCAATGTCGCGCCTGCAGCGTTGCACTAACACCGATAATCTTGGGGGGCAAAATGTTGTGTTCAGTTGTGTAATCACATTAACATAACATGGATGAGTTATCTAACAGCCATCCAAACACGGGGTGACGGGCCCCGGCTTGCAAACAGTATTGTCAAAGTTACATCACAGTTCGAGGTGCACAGTTAAACTGCACGGGTTGTAACAAAACTCATCATTGATCACAAACAATACCTATTTGAATTAGTTTGTTATGGCTAATTTGGCAAGTGGTAAAATTAAAAATTTTGTAAAACTGACTTCAATATAAATAAAATGAGAACATCAATATAGTCGAAGTCAAATAAATATGCATTATTAAGGATAACTCAAAAACTACTGGTCAGATCTTGATCAAATTTATATGGGACCACATGAAAAGCACCAGCTTTCAAATAAATCATCAACATCAGTTCACTTAGTAAAAAGTTCTGAGGTTGAGAAGCTCCACCTTTTTTTGAAATCAGTCGATAAAAATAAAAACACTATTTTCAGGTACAGCTCAAACTTATTAACATTACACAAACTTTAATACTTGTCTTTTAAAAACCAACGCCAGATCAATAAAACTAAAATCTTATTTTTTGATTGTTGTATCTCGATTCTTATATGTCTTAGACCTCACAGGTTAATGAGGTTAGTAGAAAAATGTTTGCTGCTTTAAGCTCTTTACGTAGATTGTCATTTTCTTCCCACAGTAAATAAAAGTTACGCTCGCCCAGTCTCTACTTCTGCCTATCCTTGACTATGCTGATATTTGCTATCTTGACATTACTGAGGAGCAGCTTAATAAGCTTTAGCGCATTCAAAATTTATGTTTTAGATTCATATTTGGGCTTCGCAAATATGATCATATCTCTGAATTTCGCAAACAGCTCAAATGGCTCCCTATCCGCCTTCACAGGAATACTCACATTCTTTCCACTTTGTATGGCATGCTGTTTAATCCTTCCCCTCCTCATTATTTAAAAAACCGTTTCCAGTATCTTTCCTTACCCATAATCAGTTCCTTAGATTCACTGTCAATCTTTCTCTCTCTACGCCTTCACACTCTTCCTCCTTTTTTAAGAAATCCTCTACTGTAACTGCTGTACGTTTGTGAAACTCTTTACCTCTCCACATTCGCTCAATCTCTTCATTCTTTCAAAAGTCTTGTTAAATCGTATTACTTAGAATGCTATTAGATAAATAACTTTCCCTTTTTCATACTCTCTTCATTTAATCTATTATATGATATCATACATAATCTTAACTTATCTTTATTTGTATGTATTTTCATATTTTTATTTTGTACGCCCCCCTCTATTTGTAAGTATTATTGGCATCAGTTCTCTAAGACACTAAGGTTGTCTGAAAGAAATCACTTTCAAAGTGATAAGACCGCCTGTTGTACATTTTCTACTTTAGATTTAACTGTATTTGTTTTGTTTTTTGGTGTACAATAAAGAGTAAATAAATAAATAAATAAACTAGTTTACAATTAGTTTTGCTGTTTCAATAAAGAAATTCAGGCCTCCTCTCGTTTGTGGGACGGTTTCAAGGCAAGGAAATGTCTGCCTTGCTGCCCCAATGTGTGTTGGCAAA